TCTTCTACTGACTGTGGAGCGAACATGGCAGTGAGATGAATATTGGCAGCACTGAGGGTATCAATAGGCTTAGATGAAGACATGCCAAACCTCGTCAAGACCTTCTGAATGTAGCTTTTATGTGACAAGAAAAGTTCTCTTCTCTCTCTGTCTCTAATGATCTCCATCCCTAGAATCTTCCGAGCGGCTCCCAGATTCAAGGCATTCAACATAGTTTATGATTTTGGTCGTGTTCTGACTAAATCTTTTTTGAGTCAAACATTTTATATGAGGAAAATAAGAGGTTTGATCTGAGTAATTAGTATTTACAGAAGATGATCATCCAATTATATATTAAAAAAAATAGTTTGTTAATAATTATTATTCTTTATTATCATTTTTTCACTAACATGCAACTAATTATAAAATTTGATGATTATATAGTAGCTATAATTTGTGTTATTAGTATTTTTTATAAGTATATGGATAATTATATATCATCTAGTTCATTATAAAAGAAAAAAAATCAAATATGGTATCTACACTTTGATGAAAAGGTTTATCTATGACATTCGTTGAAAATTTGGCTTATTTATGTCATTTTTGTTTGAGAAAAGACTCATCTATGTCATTATTGTTATTGAAAACAATTTTGATTTTGTATATTTTTTTATACATGTTCAATTATCATGATTTGGCCACATCATTAGATAAATCATTTTTAAAAGGAAATGTAATCACCTCAATCGTCGTTATTCAAATCACCTCGTGTAGAGTCCTAAAAAATTTAAGATATGAAGTCAATTTAAATATTGGAGCACACAACGTAAATTTAGGAATTTTCACTGTGATGACACTACTATAGCGGCATGTCAACTGCTACAGTAGGGATAGATACTCGAAAAACATGAAATTTCTATTTTTCCTCCCACTCTTTAAATTGTCATAAGCAGCTTTAAACTTAGAAATAATAGAGGGGAGGGATTTCGGAACAAAGAAGGTCAAAATTCATGTATTTGTTGAAATTTGGTAGAATCTTTTTACTTTTTCTTTTTAGTCTAAAAAAAGTTTCTAGTATTTAATTTTCTGTCAAGTCTAGGGTTTACATTTACATTAATTGCAAAATATTTGGTTTTATTTTAGTTTACTATCTAGAAGGATTCTCCTTAATTATTTATAAATATGGATGTGCTCTTCTATTTGAATCAATGCAAGAATCAATACAAAGAGTTATCATTCATTTTCTCTTTAATTTCTCTTTCTAG